ACTGGTACAAGCCACGATGAGTGTTGATGGTCAGCACTTCTCTCGTGCTTTCATCAACCTCGACCTGGAGGTAGGCATCGGACAAGTCGAGCTTGGCGAAACCCTTCCCACCATTCAGCTTGGCAAAGATATCCTTTGGTATCGGAAGGGGGTATTGATGGTCGTCCAATGCGGCATTCAGGCCAGTCGAAAAATCGGCGCAGAGACGCACTTTACCGTACGGCCTTCTCACAGCAACAATCGGCGCAGCCCATGAAGACTAGTTCATTGGTGTGATGACACCGGCTCGTTCCAGTCGGTCGAGCTCCTGATCAACTGCTGCCATGGCTGCATACGGTACCGGTCTTTTTGCTCTGAAGACTGGCTTGGTTCCTTCGCGAAGGCACAACTTTGCTTTGAGCTTAGTGCAGTGGCTGAGACCAACTTCGAACAAGGCGGCAAACTTCTGCTTTAGCTTTCTTGTCATGTCTTCTATCGACGATGGTACATGGACTGGCTCGGTTTGGGTTCTGTTGCAAATCTGACTCATTGCAACATCAAACAGTTGTAATTTTTCCAACCAGTCAAGTCCAAGGAGGTTCAAGTTTGGTCGGTCAGACAAGTAGCAAGTTCCGGCCTGTCCCACTCCGTTGAATGCAATTTTGCAATTTATTTCTCCGACCAGCTTCAACACTCCCCAGGATACGTTGTGCGCGACTTTGTTGGAATCAACCATCTTCGACTTCTTTATTTGCTCCCAAGTGCTCTTGGAAATGATCGTTATACCTGATGCCGTATGGAAGTGCAGCCTGGTTAGGATTCTGTTGATGAGCACAGTGACAGCTCGGCAGCGCGTTCTAGAATCGCTGTGAACTGTAGCAATCACGGATAGTGATTCTGGGTCAGGTTTCCTGAATTGCTTACTTCGGTACTACTACTTCACGTTTCTTGGCCGGTCCTGATGGCAAACGTCTTCCTTGTGGCCGCGTTTAAGGCACTTATCACAAATGTGACGTTTGAATGGACAGTATCGTGCGAACTGCCATTCATCACATGACAAGCAAGGTGTAGGCGGCTTGTACGGCTTTCTGTTGAACGGCTTGTTCGAGCCAGCGTTTCTTGCTTTCTGCACAGCATGAACAGTATCAGCAGTGATGGGGCCGTGTCGTGTTTCAAGGTAATCAGCCATTTGCATTCGCCTACAATAGAATTTAATGTCAAATCTGGATCTTGATCCAATTTAGCAAGGAGCCGAGTGCAAATTTCCGCGTCGCGTGGAGACTGTAAAGCACTGACAAATATGAGACACTTAAACTGGTCATCCGTCAAACAGCGTAACTTGAAACGTTCACATTCACGGTTAACTATGTCTGCTAATTCCCCGTAATCGTCTGTATCACGCTTAGGGGTTGTTAGACATTGATAGCGAATGCTAAACAAAGATGTCAACTTACCAAAAATTTTTTGCCACTGCTTCGTTGAAAGTGATGTCCTTCGGCTCTTTGTGCAGGGTGTGGTCAACGGATCTTGTATGTTCATTCGTACCGAGCTTGCGGAGGAAAAGACGCATTTTCCGTGAATCATCCTGACGGCTGAAATCCGTCCGGAACTTATCCTCTCAGCGTTTGAACCACGCCTCGAAAGTGCATTCAGGATCAGCATCACAATGAAATTCACTGATTGAATTCTTAAGAGGATCAAGTGAAACAGCCTGCGTGTCCCGTGTAGCCAGTCCATTTGATAGTACGTTCAAGCGCCGCGTTAAACTTACAATCAGTTTCATTTGTGCCTCCGTCTGGGATGGTGGCTAAAGAAGCAGCTTTTGAAAGTGTTCGGCAGAAAAGTTTGCAACATTTTCGTGCTTGTCTGTCGCCATTGTTAGATCTTCACCTTTTCTCGCTATTCCGAATTAAACACCCAAAAATTTCTCCGCAAAAATTCTAGCCCAGCCGAAGAAAAATCAAAATTCCAACGACCTTGACCACGAAAAACGTGTTAACAAAAGAGCGCTGCCAACGTAGCCAACAATGTCGCCAAAACGCTGTACAACTACGCCAGACCTAAGCTAAATATATAGGGGTACTCAGTGACCTTCGGCTCCTGAAAAACGAAGGTCAACTAGTAAAATTAATAGCCTCCCTGCCAAGACTCCGTATGTTGGCGATCACGTGAAGGAATGGGAGGTTCCGGAATCTTCAAAATCAATGCACGATCGATGGTGATCGATTAATTGCTAAAATAATGGTTTTCCTTTATGTTTTTATCTTTTCCCGTATAGTTCTGTTACTATTGACCAAGAAAGTTAGTCTATTAGCTTGCTCTCGGGCTTGCGGAAGGTCAAGTTTTTTCTACTTCGTTCTGACTTGTGAAGCCTTGCAGTGAGCCTATCGTTTCTGCTTTCAACCAGAAGTAAACTGGTATACAGCTGTGTTTGTTTTATTAGTACACCTGAACTTGTTGGTTGTAGGATCGAGTGCGGTCCCCATGCCTCCCAGCTCACTCTCGCTGCACACATCAACATCCGGATGATTGTCTCTCACTAAGACTCTCGTTCGTTTGACAGGTGTTCAGCAGCCCACGTCTATGCAGTGCACAACGCAACCACTGCCCTCACTTTTATAAGGCGCACAAGACGGCATGTTTCTATATTTGGTGTTAAACAAAGAAGTAGCAGCTTTGCTTCACACCCGATGCCCTAACATGATCCAGTACTGTTGCATAAATATGCTTTTGATCCCAACTTTAGCTATATGTGGCTTATCCTGATGATTTGCACTCAGCAAAACGTCCGAACTTGCTCCAGTCTAACCACAGCATCTTGTGGTTCGCCGTATCTAACATCTTACTGAATTTGACTGTCGGCGAGTTCGGCGACAGGCCGCGTTGGCTGCATTTTCTTTGTAATGCAAACACCAAATCGTTCATATGACAATCTGAGCAAAGGTCGTTTTACTTCCTGACCACGCCATTATGATCAGGATTCATCATAATCATCAATACACGCTAGCAGAGGGTGAGAGATACACCTCAGTTAATGTGCCGCAATATATTAACTGAGGTGTGTCTCACAGATGGGTGAGAGTCGGTGTCGGCCGGTGGCCGAGTGGTCTGCACGTTTGCTTTACAAACATAAGGTCACCGGTTCGAATCCCCGTAGGGGTGGGCGTCCTCGCGGTATACTCAGTCCGCGCGCGACGCGGTGGTCGCGCGGCAGCGAAGCGCCGTTACGGCGTACAGCTGACACATTATTTATTATTTTTTATATCAAGTCGGTGCCACGATGGTTGCTGACACATCTACTACATCCGCTGCGCGTTTGGTTAAGATAAGGTGTCTGCCTTGTAATCCACTGGTGATCGGTTCGAATCCGCGTAGGTGCAAGTGACCTCGCGGTATACCCAGCCAACGAGCGACTGGTAGTGGATACGCGTCAGCGAAGCGTCGGCTTGTTGTAACGGCGTGCTTCTGATGCCTTATCTTCCTTATGTCTTCCATCTACTGTGGTAGATGAAGAGCATCCTTTAGTGTTTTGGGCACTTGCTGTTCCACTTACTCCCGTTCCACTGAACAGTAGAGCATGTGAATCATTCGGAGTTCGCTGCTCCCTGTCATTTGGTCGGTACCAACAGCTTTAACATTTGGCATCCTTGTCGGTTTTCAGTTCTTATCCTGTTCGTCTGGTTGTGTTCTCCACTGAATTCCTCGTATTCTACCGATATCGTACGGCGCACTGTTCCATCTGCTTCACACAATCAGTACTACCACCAGTGAATCATGGTTATTTTAGAAATTCAGCTGCAATGAACCATCTTTCCAACTGTCTGGAATTGACCAGCCTTTACACCATGTCAACAACTACATAGCGAAATTGCTGGTGGGTATTCTGCTACCAATGCTCTTTGACCACTTGCCTACATTGTGTTAATCTGTTCGTCCCCGTAATACCGGTCTTCATTAATTCAGAACAAGCAGTTTAGCATACCGCATCAGCTTTGTTTTCCTAGTCATTTGGAGTGGTCGCCTACCATGTAAGCAACAAAGTCAACTAGAGCACACAATTTTCTTTCTCTTTACGCATATGCATTTCTTTGTCTGTTGGATTATCTGAGTTATACAACTACCTCTCATAAGGGTACATAATACCTTCACATTACGAAACATTAGTTGTTGTGCTCAGCCATTTTGCTCTCCTTTCCACTGCTGCAAGCTGGTGCGCGAACCCCATCGTGTGTTACTGCGATGCGTCACGCTTGCTGCTACCACCCTTTATACCTCATTCGTCTGTGTTCTGTGGAGGAAATACACCCTCTCGGTATTGGATGGTGGGAAAGACATGGAGTTCACTGAGGTTTACACAACAACAGTCGGTTCATTGTCGCCACTGGCCGAATGTTCGACCTTAGATTAAAGGTGTGTTTGAAAATCCTGAGTGTGCACCTTTCTTAGTATTTTTTTGATTCCTGGCTGCTGTTTGTCGCTGAAGATTTAGCCTTAATGAACTTCCCTTGACCCATCTAGAAGTTTCATTTATATGGGAAATGCTTGACCTCTTATCGATTACTCATTTTTCACAATTGGTTGGTGCATCCACTTTTTCGGCTGATGCCTTGTCTAAACCAATCTACTTTCGTCCTCCACGGTGAGCGGTCTACACGTGGAGCATTGAGTATATGCTGTTCACCGTGTTTACTGAGCAACCACCCCTTTGCCTACGTTCTTACTAGCTCTACAGTAACAATCGTTTTTCGGTATGTTTTGGGTGGCTAACTGTCCAAATGTCCAGCACTTTTCTGTGATTCTTAAGCTCCGTTTACGTTCACTTTACGTTCACTTTCCAGCGTGATTAAAAGCGTTATTGCCTTAGGTAATTAGTCTACCCTTAGATGTAAAGGTTTCGTTGGGTCCATTTGTGTGACAGCGCGTAGTCTAGAAAGTGTTTCAGTTCTGGTATCTAACTTCACCTATTGTGGTCATCCTGGATATGTTCATCTCACTTTTGAAAACGTTTTCACTCATTGTAGGAGGTGCTTTGATTTATTGACTCCGCTTCTTAAAAATGCGATAAAGAGCCAAAATGTTTTGGAAATATCTTCAATTCCCACTCCACTGACAAAGGTGAGTTCAGATCTTTTTTTCGCTCTCTGCATTTTTGTGGTTGCCATAGTTTGGGGAATTGGATGTCCCCACCCAGCACTTATACAGAAATTGCTGTCATTGCAGCCTCTTTGAAAATGCTGTAAAAAAGCTGCATTGGCCTGCAGTATTGGGATCTGATTTACCGTCTTTTTTCCTTCAAGGTCAACTTACGGATCCACCAATAGTGAGCCGCCTGTAGCTATTCTGTCAGTCGCCCACCCCACGGGTTTCGTAGGTACGCTCGAGTGGCGTATTCCTTGCAAGCCATCTTTATGTGAAGCTGTGAAACGTATTCTCTCTATAGGACCCACTAGCAAGTATGATTACGACCACGGGTTATCCCCAAGGCACCTAATCTAATAGCACCAGAGGTAATGATAACCCTCCTCGCAGGATACCCTTCGGCGGTCATTAGGTTGCAGAAGGCAGTGTTGAAACCTATTCCGCTATAAAAGGGAGAAATGCGCATAACCGGAACTTACTGACAAAATTCTGCCTCTGGAAATTATGGTATAATATAATGGTCATTTATGTACAAAAACGAACGGCTACATATATTCGTGGCCGCTTTCGGCATTCGCTGTAGGATAGAAACCCCAAAAGCAAGTTGCAATAGCAAAGTCACACGGAGATATTACCTCCATCTGCACAGTGATGTCCCCCCAGTTGGTCGGCGCCAGTAGTTTGATTGCGCATTTCGTAAATACCTGCGTACGGAAGAGCTTACCTCTGTCTCTGTTTCTCCTGCCTCAGGATTTCGTGATCACGCTAGCCCTTCCCTCGTGAGACTAATGATTGCGTTTTCCTCGGAACGGGTCATGCAAACCCAAGGACTTTCGACCGCTTTGAATTTTTCGCTGTTAACATCGCACTGTGATTTCCACTAACTGTATGTAAACAGCTGATGAGAATACACGAAATTGCTGAATTCAGTAAATTCTGTTAAGATGTTGTTTCTTCTTGCTTTATTGAAACACCTGTGAATGAATGTTCATGGATGACAAATTCTGTTACCTTGTTTAACGGAGTATGTCGTTACCTTTTTGAAGACGCAGAGGTCGTTATCGCTGCAAAAAGTTTTAGCGCCCATCGGCTGGTGACCGAGTGGTCTGCGCACCTGGTTTGCAACCATAAGGTCCCCGGTTCGAATCCGCGTAGGAGTGGGCGTCCTCGCGGTATACCCAGCCCGCGCGCGACTGCTTGTGTTCGCGCGGCAGCGAAGCGCCGTTACTGCCTACAGCTGACATATATTATTTATTTTTTTACCTAGTCATACTGCGCAGCATTATATAGCGTGTACCGTCATACAACCATTTCCCTGCAGTAGCTGGCAGTAAAGTTGTTTGTTACTACTCAATATGTCATTGGTAAATTGCTTATCAGCTCTCCCTTTATTTTGTTATCCGTCAGTGAGGTATCAACCTCCTCTAGTTCCTTCACCGTGGATACCGACAGTCGTAACATAAGCGTCGACTAAGCTGCGGTTGTTGTACGGCTTCTGTGCGCTTTCGAACAGTAGTCTTTAAAGCATATAAATCCTGCGCCATAGGTCAAACTTCCTGAGGTAGGCGTTTTTAAGTCATCTAGATGCATATCGACTTGTGCAAGGGTTTCTGTAAAGTGCCTTGCGCAATTAGAAGCAAGGTGTATACCGTCTCGCGTGCTAACAGCTGGTACTCCCAATATATTTGGAATCGCTGCGTAATGTCACCAATCGGACAACGTGGGGGTTACTTTTGAATACATTAGACGATTTAATCCCAGGAGCCGCTCCCCCGCTAGTAATTGGTACTGTTGTTGTTAAATCAAATTACACGATTTGGCGCTTATTTGGGGTCTCGTAATCATGATGCATGATCTGCACAGCGGCGGTGCATTTCCGCATGCCAGATGTTGGGGCATTGGCAGGATTGCATGCTGCGGAGGATCACTATGATTTCACTTTCATTCGCAGTGGCTTATCATCAACATCCGTTAGCTGATTCTCTGGGGCGCACGTCTGCAAAATTATGAAACGGATTATGTCAGATGAAGCCTTACATCAACCTTCTTGATGGCCATCCCATGAATACCGTTACGTCGGATTCCGCTGCATGATCGTCATCACACATACTGCGTACACAATGCATAGCTTTGTCGAAGTCCACGTTGTGCAAGTTATCAGAGAAAACATTTACAGGTACGACGAATCACTTCCACACCGTGCCGTGGAGCTTGCGGCTCAGGTCTTCGATGTTGACGCAAAGTATTATGATAGTTATGTACGGATACGGATGGGATGATGTCACGCGGGCCGTCTCCAAGCAGCCAGGTGTTGCTTATTATGGTTCCTCTTGTGACACCGTTCTCGTGCGTTAACGCACAACACAACAGTTCGGCATGGACTTGTCACCTGTGTGAAAAAATGCTGTTAGCAGAGAAATGATATGTATATCTGATAGGCGAAAGATCCGTAAATATATACTAACTCAATTACGACACTTACTTGGAAATAGCTGAGCTGACACAGCTAGAAACCAGATTCACACTCGAGCCCAGAACGCACGGGGTATTCCACGATACAGAGGAAAATGACCTTCACTAGTTCACTTTAACCAAATGTAGGGTAGATTACTAACATTTTTAACACGTGTGTAATTATTCCATGTAAATGTACATGACTTACATGCTTTTATACATATTCTTCCTAGATGCTCTGTTGTGGTAGTTCACTTTCCTTTTTCGGCGGTCGAATACATCACACACCTCATTAGTACAGCACTTTACAGCAGTTTTTGCTGTAGTGTGCTGGGTGGGTCACAGCATTAGTGCTTTCTAACCATCACAAGCATGCGTACCTCGTTTTGTTAGTGGAAGTTGACATCATAAATAATTGAATCGATTTCCATCCGAACCCCACTTTAGGTCATAGAAATAAAAACTGGTAGCTCAGATTGTTCATGTTTTGTTTCCGCTGACAGTACGGATAACCGATACAGCCACTCTGGTCACGATACAGCCACTTCACAAATCAGAAGACAAAGGCCTGTGGCGGAAATTGTATGAAGCACCCGGAAGACAGTATGTATAGCCAAAATATGTATGTTGGGCTAAACCAACTTACACTTAAACTAGGTCTTTTTAAGCTTCATAAATTTCATTCCACTTCAATTGGTTTGTTCTGCCTACTTGAGTAACCTTCTATTAACTTGCACAAGTTGCTTACGCTAATTGCGCTTATCTTCGTTAAGCAGATTGCGTTTGCAGCATTTTTGTGGACAACTTTTATGGCGAACTTCCCTAGGAATAACTACTCTCCGTCAAAAGTCAACATCTGTTGACGATTGCTAATTCCTCTTTCCTCCGGAACAAATTTTGCAATTCCCATCTAGGTTGTCATTCGGCCACTGTGTAGTTTGAAATCTGACCGCTTTTTGTAGGACAGGATCCCACATTGATGTATCACGTATCATTTCAAAAATTACCGGAGGGCCCTCTGAGCATTCCCAACAACATCTAATTCACTTCCGACTCCAGAGAGATCGCTGCAATGATAGATTCTTCTTGCAGGCGCTGTTGACTTTCTAATAACCGGGAAAATACATCAGCGACCAATATCCCTTGTAGAAATGTCCCTCACCGTAAAATTGCAGCTGAGTAATTTTGTGGCCCACCGCTGCAACCTATTTGCCGTATAGACAGGGATACCCGGCTTTGCTTCGAAAATTACCAACAAAGGCTTATGGTCAGTAAGAAGTGTAAACTTACTCCCATACAGCATCTTGTGAAATTTTTAACAGCGAAAACTTTCGCAAAGGCTTCTTTCTCTATTTGGCCATAATTTCCCTTTGCGTGAGACGGCGACCGACCTACATGTACAATTGCCTTTTCTGAACCATTTACGAACTTGTGGGCTATGACTGCACCAATGCCATTGTTCGAGGTGTCTGCGGCCATCACACTCCAGAGTAGGGTCGTAATGTGTCAGCAGAAGGTCGGAACATAGTAACCTTTTTGCCTCGTCTGGCGTTCTTCGGACCAGTTCCAGCGTTTATCCTTGGCCAGCAGGTCATTGACTAGACCACGCAAACGATGAATGTGCGCTATGAACGGGCTATAATGACTTGTGAGTCCTAGGAATGACCTTAACGTTCAACGATCTTTAGGCGGCGGCATCGTCTTGGTTAACTGGTTGTTCGCTTGGTCTGAACGAATTCCGTTCCTGTCGATTGTAAGGCCGAGAAACGTAACCGAGTCCACAAAGAAGGTCATAGTCTGAGTCCATATTCCTCAACACGGCCAAAAGCTCGATCCAACCTTTTTAATAAGTCCTCAACGCTGCCTCCGGCAGTAAGGGTGTCGTCCAAGTATGCGGCTGCTCCATTAAAATCTGTCAACATTGTGTCCATGATCTGCTGGAACATGACTTTATTTTTACAGATCTGACTCCAAACGTGAGACGGTGATACTGGTGCAAGCCTCGATGCGTATTGATGGTGAGTATTTCTCGTGAAGCTTCATGTGCCTCCATCTGGGGATCCAGTTTTGGGAAACCTTTACCTCCATTCAGTTTTGCGGACAAATCATCTGGAAGCGATAAAGGGTACTGATGGGCGTTCAATGCAGCATTTACACCCGTCGAGAAATCGACTCATATTCGAATCTGGTCGTCTGGCTTTTTGACCATAACAATGAATGCCGCCCAAGAAGTGTAGTTCACCGGATGGATAACCGCTGCTCTCTCTAAGCGATCCAGCTCATGGTCAACCATTGGTGTTGTCACGTAAGGTATAGGCATTTCTTACGAAACACTAGAACAGCATCGGGCTTAAGGGACAATAAAACTTGTACTTCGGTGCACTTGCCGAGGGCTTCTCGAAAGACTGCTGCATATCTCTCTTATAGGCACTTGATGGCCACTGTTTCAGGGGATGTTGAGTTGGGTATCTGGAAACTCGCACAAATCTGGTTGCTCGGAACATCAATTAGGTTGAAACACTCGGTCCAGTTCAAACCCAGAAGATTCAGATTCTGATGGCTCGTGACGAAAATCGTTCCCCATGCGGTAAAGTCGGTATAACGACACTCACATTCGATTTGACCAAGCAATTTCAGCTCGGCATCTGATTCACTTTTCGCCTGTTGACTGGTTGGTTTGATATCTGGAAACTCGGTAATCTTCACAGCCTTTCTGATATGACCGTGATAGTGAGGCCGTATCGATCTGCAAGCACGCCTGTCTTCTATTGATTTTGATGGCGATGTTGATTTATTTTCGGCCATGTTTAACATCTTCAGTAAAATTGGCGTTCACTCTCTTCACAAAATGACCGTAGCTTTTCTTTCGTGCATCATCAACCGGCCTGAAAATGGGTTAGATTTGCAATGAGTTTCTTTGTGCTCACGTCTACAACATTTCTGGTAGATATGCTAGTTGAATGGCACCGCATTGCGCATTGAATTTGCGCGTCGTAATCCATTCACACTACGTGCACTACAAAATGGCCCTCCAATCAGTCATTAACCGTTGTGCTAAGCGTTGCCCGCCGTGACTCGGTGGCTTAAATTCAGAGGTTTCGATTTACACCTCAAGGATCACTGTTACGAATCGCAATGCAGCTATTTCTGCCTAATGAGTGTAAAAATTGGGAAAGCGGTTGAGGAGTGCAGTGTTTTCGAGTGGGGGGTGGCAACTCCTAACATTCATGACTAGATGTGTTTACCAGAGGTGGTAGAATTAATTTGGAACTGTAAATTGAATGAACCTAAAGGGTATAGTGTTAGGTCAGACCAAAGTTAAATGCGCA